GGATCCCTGGGGCTTGCTGACCAGCCAGTCCAACCAAATCCATTCCATAAGAGACCCCATCCCAAAAATGAAGACTGAGAGTGAGTGAGGAAGACTGAGTCTTCCTGGCCTCTGCACACATAGTCACATACATTCACATGTGCGTTTGCACACGCACAGGAACATCAACCTGTGATGTTACAGTATAATTAAGTAGAAATCAAAATCTGCCATTTGTTCCCAAAGGAAAGAAAAGAATTTACTTGCTGTGCAATTTCTAAGTCTTAGCTAATGCTCCTCTTGGTTGCTTATGTGCCGTTGTGAGTCTCCTTTTCCTACTGATGACTTTCCAAGAACTAGGTGTAGTCTGTTCATTTGCTGCTTTGTTCTCAGTGGTGAGTTTTGCTTGTTTCATTCTTCTTCCTACTTCCTTAGGTCTCAGCTGCTCTCTGCAGCATCCCAGGGAGGAAGCTTGGACAGCCGAGTTAGACCCTCTGTCCTAACAGTGCTGGTACATTCAGTTTCCCTCTAGTATTGCTTTTCCTGCAGCCTATACATTTGATAAGGAACATTCTTAGTTTCATTTCTGGAAAATAAGTTCAATTCCTTTGGCTCACATATGATTTGGGAATGTGCTGTTTGTTGTATCTGGTGCAAGCATTCTGCCTATTTCTCTTACCTCCATTCAGTTGTCTTACAGGCTGGCGGGTCTTATTTATGTCTTGGTTCATGCTCCATTGAGCAGACAGTGTGGGCTCTGCTGTGGGACAGGGAGGGCTAAGTCTGCCTGTTGATGAAGCCGAGGCATGTGGGGCCGAGTACTCTGTGTCCTCTGTAGGGCCTGTCCATCTGAAATGCAGTGCAGCTCTCCTGGGCCGCCATTGAGCCCTGCTCATTTTTGCCTTGTGTTTTCATTCTTGTTGCTAAGAATCTTAATCTTCTAATTAGATAATGCCCGTCTGTGTGTGCCTGGTATTTTACTTTGTTCTGAACTGTGTTCTGTCTGAGATATTATAATAAAGACACTTTGCCCATAGCATAGCCACTGTGTCTTTCCTTCATATTTTATAGTTTAGAAAGACACAGTTTTAGTTTCTGTGTGTCCCTGCCTTCCCAGTTCATCCATGTCCACTGCTGTCCTACAGGAGGGCAGGTGGCTGGCAGCAGGAAGCACCCTCTGTCCCTAACAGCATTGCTGGCGACATTCCACTCCCCTGCAAGCTACACTTTCTCAGGCTATCATAACTGTCATTCTAAGAAAATGCAGTTAGCCTATCCTAGCCATAACACCAGCCAAGTTAGTTTTTAAAAATTGTGACTGAGTATGTGGAGACATTTCCCTCTCAGTATTCTTTAAGCATTGTGGTGTGATAGCTGTGTCCAGAGCGGGATTAGTGAAAGTGTATGGCAGGAAACACGGAGGCTGTGTGACAGTACTGTGCTTTTTATGTCCTTAGAGTTTGTTGTGCACAGAGTCCCTGAAAACATCCCTGTGGACACCATGGTGTGCCTATGACGTCCTGAAATGGGGTGTGGGGTACCAACTCAACCCTCTCTTTCACGCCATCCCTCGCTTCTCCCTAAGTCCATTCTGAAGCTGGTTCCCTCCATGTGGTTTCATGCCTGTCCCTCTTACTGTCTGCCTTGATGGTTTGATGCCCTCGTGTTGGCTCTGACCAGTCACTAATTGCTCTCAGCTGTTTCCATTATGCCTCCAGAGTATAGTCTGCTTGTTAAGAAAGTTCCTGTTTCCCCTTTTGGAAGAGTGTTCCCAAGCACTGACATTTATGTTCCTGGGGTAGCTCAGGAACTGTGCTCCATGTCCTGGTCCAGCACCTAGTGATTATCTGAATTCCAGTGTTCTTCACAGCCTGCTCAGTCCCATGTCACTGTCAACACCTCTTAATGCTGTGGGTCTGTCACACAAATGTCCATGACCCTTGCTTGTTAGGATCAGTGACTTTGGGCAGAGTGTGAGCTACCATACAGGAACAGAGGCCTGTCTAAGATCTGGACAGATTTGCCGAGACTGGGGAGTATGTCTGGCTTTTGACCTCCCACAGATAATACCGTGTCATTTTCTAAATGTGATCTGGAACACGTGTTGATCTGATCCATGCTTTAAAATCATAGTTTTGGTAATTACTTAGTTATATGGTTATCAGGATGTGGAGCTGTGTCCTGTAATTTTCCCAGAGTTTGTGAGTTACGACGTCCAATTGATTACTTTCATTCCATTTGCTGTGGCTTTGTCCTTTCCCTGTCTGGTGTCCTCTCCTCGGTTTCATAACAGTTTTCAGTGGTAATTGTGTTGATTTTAATTTCTTGAGTGAAAATTATGATCTATTTTCTGAGATAATTATTGTAAACATGCCACTATCCAGTTATATTTATCTGGCCCGGAACTTGACCAAATTATTGCTTTGGAGCATTTCTATTTAATTTCAGTTACATTTGTCGGTGCACCCACCTCTAGTCAACCTCCCAGCTCCACAGAGCTGCCCAGGAGGCTCACAGCGACAACTGGGACCCATTTCCAAAGAGAGATCTAGTACTGTGGAGCCAGGTGGGAGCTCCCCGTGAAGTTTCAGGCGGAGCTGCAGTTCAGGAGGAAGCAAACCAGGCTGTGAAAGGTGGGGGGAAAGGGTGCTTTCTGCTAATGGAGAAATCTTCAGTCATAAAGCCTCAATCGCCATCTTACTCTTTTCTGTCTTCTTGCCTCAACCTTCTGTTCAAAGCTGTCTGTCACAGACTATGCTTCCCCAGACTATGGTCATGCATCATAGCTGGGCACTGTGTGGCAAGTACATTGTTCTCAGCCGGGTTTTCCAACCGCAGAGTTGAACCAAGTGTTCTGTGAGTAGAACTCTCTCCTTACCTGCTCTGTGTTCTCAGGCATAAAAGACTTCCTAGTGTCTTTGTTTCTTTAATTATCTCTGATCAAAGAGATGTATTTACTTGAGATATGCTGTGTGGCTCTCCTCATTTCTGTGAACTCCGCTAAGAGTCGAACTTTTCCAGGTTTTAAGTAAGGTGCAGAATAGACCAATGGATTTACTTTTAAAGCCTTTTTGTAACTTTTTCTGGGACATGTGGGAATTGTAATTTTGCCAAATTAAGCATAGATGGCGCTGTTGCTCTGTTTCCTATACTTCCAAGACACATTCTTTATTTTCCAGCATTTTCTAAGAATTTTCAGCTATAGAGAAAACCAGGTACCTCCCTACTACTTTGGTATTTGTTAACATTTACCATGTACTTCATTTTTAGTTGGAATATTTTGTTGCCACTTCAACAAAATTAAAAGGTAGCAGGTACAAAATAACTGTGTGTTAGAGTAGAGAATTATGTGCTCATGCATTGCTGGCTGCTGGCATAGAGTTGGTAAAGATTGTGTGTGAGAGTTGTCAGCATGCAGCTATGGAGAGGGCTGCTAGAAGGCGATGCTGAAGATGGGCTTTGGCGCTGTAGAGTTTTTTATTCAGCAGCTGAGCAAAGCAAGCTTACAGAAAGAACACAGCTACTTTGTGTCCTTCGTAGACGTTACAATTTGCAAGCTGGAATTGTTTTTAAATGTTTTCATATTTTTTGGCAGATGAAACCAAGTGGATAGGAAGGCTAAGAAAAGCAATCTTATTCTTTGACTGGGTCGAGTGTGGCCATTTATCTAAACGAGTGCAAGCCGCATGGAAGGAGAGGCAGGGCGGGTTACTGGACAGCTGCTGTTTGGGGTGGGGTTTGGGCCACTGAATCATTAACTGTGGGAGCGATGCCTTTGTGCTAGGACAGCAGGCCGTGCTTTGCTGCTACCAACTAAGCTCAGTCTGCCACAACCCTTGTTTCTCTGTGGTTTCCTGTGGAGGTGTGACCCATAGGTCTATGCGTCTTGCGTTCCTCTCGTTCTTCTGGTCCTGTGGGGTCCTGGCTACTTGCAAGTTTGTATAGTGAGTCTAGATGCTTCTTACAAGGTCCAGCCACCAGGAGCCAAGTACAGAATCTCCACTTGGAAATTGCAGGGAAGAAATGCCCTCTGTTGCCTTTACAACTTAGATGTGGTTAAGTATCTGTTGAAAATAATTACTTTTGTTTCTCGAGCCTGTAAGAGAAGAGTTAGTGTCTTTTCCCCTCCAACAGTTGTCTCACCAGATATCTCAGACTGGACTCAAATGTGTGGCAGTTTTCTTGTCTTAGCTTCCCAAGAACAAGGATTTCAAACATTCAAGGATTTAAGCCTACATGACTAGGCCCAACTTTAAAGCTTCTTCCTAAAAAAATAAAATAAAAGTTTGTCTCCTCAAGCACAGTGGTTATTTTGAGACCAGCTTCAAAGTGAACGAGCTTTAACAACAGTTTAACATCCTCGCATCAGCAGAGGGAACTGGTAAAGCAAGACAGAAGCCCACAGTTGGCGTTACCAGTACCAGAAATGCAGCTGACCGTTGATAAGTGTGGCCTGCCTCCTCCATTGCTATTAACGTTACATATTTTTAATAAGGCATAGTGTGCCTAGCATGGTGACCTACCATCTGCTCTTGTGTGTGAATTGCACATTGCCCCATTTCCTCCTATCCCAGACTCTGAAGGTGCCAGGGTTTCACAGCACTCGCTCAGTTCTGGAGCTGTTTCAGCAGCGGCTACTACACAGTCCTGGGGTCTTTGAGAGAGGGGCGGCTTCAGAGACACCTGCTTCTGAGCGGCACTTATCTTAGGCTTTTCTTGTTGTTTTGTTCTTTTAAAGATTTATTTTTATTTAATACGCATTGGTGTTTTGCCTGCATGTATGTCTATGTGTCTGTGTGAAGGTGTCAGATCCCCTGGAACTGGAGTTAGACAGTTGTGAGCTGCCATGTGGGTGCTGGGAATTGAACCTGGGTCCTCTGGAAGAGCAGCCAGTGCTTTTAACCACTGAGCCATCTCTCCAGCCCCCCTATGCTGGGTTTTTTTTTTTAATATAGATAATATTTGCCTAATGGTACTGACTTTGGTGGCTTGTTGTAATCCATGTCTGTCTTACTCTTCAGGGTTCAGGATAAGATGGACGTGCTGAATTTCACGACCGTTCCTATCTACCTCCCAGAAGTCACAATTGGACCTCACCAGGGTTCCCGGATCTACAATAGCTTCAAAGAGGTGAGCCCCAGCCATGGGGGCAGAGCCTGGGGTACTTATGGCCACTGAGTCCTTCGCCAGTCTTGAACAGTGAGTCCTCAGATAAGCACCACATCCAGGGCCCTCGCTAGGTGCTTTGTCTTGATGGACACAGTCCTCTATTTGCTGGTGTCTCCAGTTCTTCACGGCAGTATCTGATGTCACCTTACTCCTCACAGTGTATCTCTAAATCATTAGGCTTACATTTCTACAGTGTCCTCCAACCAAGCAGTACAGTGCAGTGAGGATGACAGAGAAGACAGTGGCTACTACTCCGATCACACCTTTCTCTGGTTTCCACATCTTCTTCACAAGCCTTTGTTCCTCCATTAGTGTGAGGGGTCATTTCCAGCTGTTCAGCCAGGGATCAGAGGCCCGACAGGAATAGAAGCCTGCACCGAGCAGGTTTTTGCTCTTTTTTTAATCTTTCCTTTCGGGAAATCAGTTTTTTTTCTGGCTTCATTTATTTCCCTCTGCTTGCTGACTGGTTATCATTCTAGTATCAGTTAGTCGCTGTAATTAGCTGATAATCATTGGTAATTAAAGTGGTCATTTGTGTCTGATATCAATAGTTTTCCAGTTTCCAGCCATGTGACATCACAGACTGCTGTTTGCCCAGCTCCTCCTGTGGGCTGTTGTGACTATGTGTCTTAATTCTTTGTGCATTTGAAGTCCGTCGAGTCATAATGGGCACTGTAGAGATCGTACTGACTCCAGATAGTTCTGCAGCACTCGACACTTAACCCCACTGTGGCTCACATCCTTTCGTGGCCCTGTTTCCACTTAGGATCGTTCTTGAGGAATGATACGCATGGGGCGGAGAATTCTGAGCCACCAGCCTGATTCCTTTCAGCCAATCCAGGCTTGAGCGTCTAGGATTCCGGCTCTGTTCTAAAGAGCAGCTTGCTGCTTCTGTGGAATGGTTCTTGTTTCTCTATGGGGTCTGTGTTTTCTCTGGTTCCTGATGTGGCCTTGAGGTTTGTGAAGCCCGGTGTCCCGTTAGCTGGGCTCCACAGTCAGTGCCGGTTCTCTGCTGTCTGCGGGCTCCCAAAGGCGGTAGTCTCACACTGTGACACTGTGCGGGTCTGTCTTCTCGCGGCCTTTCTCAGTGCGCATCAGTGCCCTCTGCCACCTTCCACACTACTGATGGGTCATCTTTCCAGCCTACCGTCTGCCGTTCTTATCATTGAGCCTTCCGCTTTAGTCAGTCTTTCTTGTTGTTTCTAGAGTTTACACTTTCATTTCAACTTTGCAAAATTATTTTAGTTACACGTTTTTTGAAACAGTCTCAAATAAAGTAGCCTGATAACTGCAGTGTCTGTCTTGGGGTCTGCTCCACTGTCAGGCTCACTGTCCTGTTTGATCCTTTTGTCCCTGCAGCCTGGCCTGGCGGGTGCTTCCTGGGTTTTGTCTCAGGTTTTCGCTCACTGTGGCTGTTACTTGGCTCTTTTGTTTGTATTTGATTAAGAATGTAAAGTAGTTTTGGACTTTGGCAGTGCTACTCACCCACACGGAGATGCACTGCACAGTCGCCTGGTCAGCACTAAAGTGAAGGCAGACTACCAGAATCCATTCTAGACCACATTGATGGCTGACTGTGTGCTTCCATGAGGTCTGTTGTGTTTACAGCGTGTCTGTCTTGAGAGAGCATGCTTAACAGGGTGCTCCTTATAGGCTTCATCCCTACTATGTGCACAGCTGCTAGAAGCTCTGTTCAGTGCCTTATTGCTGCTGCTGCTGCGGCTCGTGAGAGTTGAGGAAACCCAGGAGGCTGATGTGCTGACTGTAAGCCCCCTTTGCTCTTTGTCCTGACACCCTAAGACACAGCCCCTGCCTGCCGGGATCCCTGTGAGTGAAGGACTCTATGTGCCATCTGCCTCTGCTTGTACAGCTAGTCGTCCAAAATCTAGACATAGGTAGGTGGTTGTATGGTGATCTTGACACCATCACTACCCTTCTGTTTTTACGGCTCTCTGTGTTCTGATACTCTGCTGGGTGGTCTCTTGTCAACTTGATACAAGCTTTGGGGAGAGAGAACCCCAGCTGAAAAAGAGCCCCTACCAAATTGGTCTTGGGGCAAGCCTGTGAGCATTTTCCTGATTGATGATAAATATGGAAAGGCCCAGCTCACTGTGGGTAGTACTACCCCTGGGCAGTTGGTCCTGAATGGTATAAGAAAGTAGGCTGATTAAGCCATGTGCAGCAAGCCAGGAAGCAGCGTTCCTCCATTTCCTGTGCCTCAGTTTTTGCCCCTAGGTTCCTGCCTTGATTTACTACCCCAACCGCAGAGTGATGGACTACAAACCATAAGACGAAATAAACTCTTTGCTCCCCAAGTTGTTTTTGGTTATGGTGTTTATCACAACAGTAATAAGACGAATGCTGAATATCAGAATCTGTGGCATTGGACATGCAGATTTAATTAAATGTTGGAAATGTTGAAGATTTTAAACCAGCTTTCAGGTCATATGAGGCATGGACACTGAGTGTCAACTGAAGTATCATCCAGGTCTCCCCAGAACTTCACTCTGTCCTTCTGTGCCAGGACCCATCATGGCACAGACGCTAGTGCTCTGTGGCTTCTCATTAGTGACGCATGTGTTCCTGTTCCTGGTCACAGTTTAAGGGATCTGCAGTGCAGTCTCAGGTGCACTTCGGTAAGGTGGTAAAGGTCAAGGCGAATGACAACATGTCCATTGCCTGACCTTAACCTTGATTGCCCCGTCTTTCCCCTGCAGAGTCTCTGTCTCTTCCAGAAGCACCGTGTGGTCCTCAGGCTTTCTCTTTGATGATCAAACTGTGGGACCATTTAGAGGAATGTTGTCTTTTAAGGGAACAACTGCTTTTAGTAAAAATAGGTTGAAATGAAGCATGGTAATAAGTAATAATGACTTTCTTCTTAGAGACAGAGTTTTCTTTGCTATTAAAGACGGCAACAATTATTACAAGATTTCCCTCTGGAAATTTCATTATGGGTGAGTCAGAGATGAATGCAGAAAGGCCCCTCCGTTCGTTTCCTACCTAGCTGTTGGCAGTCTGGGAACCTGTGGGTTTCATGAAGGTGTTTCTCTGGCAGCAGAACTCTTCCAGCCACTGTGCTCAAGCCTCACACAACTCTGACTTAGTGATCTGCTTGCATTGCACTGGCAAGCGCTACTGTCATTGCTGACTGGGAGCCAGCACTGCCACACCTCACTCCTGGGATGCGTAGGAGTGCCACCAGCAAGGTAGTGAGTCCAGCCAAGCACTGGAGCCTGCAGCGTCAAGACACTCCCTGTCAGGAGGAGGAGGGGAGCTGGTGAGAGAGCGTGTACCCGCTGAGTATAAGGTACTGTTGGTAGGTCAAGGCGGTATAGCTGAACTTTTCTTTGGGCCGCCAGAGACTTACTAATTAAGAAAGCTCAGCCTATAGCTCAGGCTTGTTCCTAACCAGCTCTTACAACTTAAATTAACCCATTTATATTGATCTACATTCTATGATGTGGTATTACCTCTCTTCCATCTTGCACCTCCTGTTTGCTCTCTGTGTCTCCTGGAATCTTCCTGCACCTGGATTCCTCCCCCTCTTCCTTTCCCTCACCTGAAATCCCACCTGTATCTCCTGCCTAGCTGTTGGCCCTTCAGCTTCTCTTAGACCGATCTCAGCAGTACACCTCCACACAGTGTATAAATACCCCACAATAAGGAGGGGCACCCAGGATGTTGCTTTGATGACTGCTTGGGATCTCAGGTGAACCTTGAGAAAAAGTGTCAGCAGAGTGTGGGAACTGACTGGCCAGTATTTTATTAGTTTGTCACTTGGTTTTGTTGCTAAAGACCAAGACTTTTTGTGACTTGATAGGCAAAAAATAGGTGCAGTGGAAACAGGGAGATGTTCAAGAGATTGGGGCAGAGGACAGAAAGAGAACGAGGGCAGGGACCCAGGCCACACTACACAGAGGCCCAGCTGTTCCACTGGGGCCATGCTTGGGACTGCCCCTGCTCATTTCAGAAGAGTTAGTTGCCGGTTCTGTAGCTGCAACAAAACATTTGACAAAAGCAATGTCAGTGAAGAATTGCTCATTTTCCTGTGAGTTTTCTGGGTGGCAGTCCACCATGGCAAGGAAGACACAGGGAGCAGCAACTAATATAGTAGTTAAGAAACTGAGGAAGGAGACACACTTGTAAGGACTTTTTCCACCTGGGCCCTATCTCCTACTTTCCACCCCTTCCCCAAACATCTTGTCACACTATGTGTCTACCCAGGAATCCGTCTACACACGGGTCAGGACCCTTGTGTTCTCCTTGTCTCTGAAAACATAGGCATACCCAGAAGTGTGCTTTACTGTCTTCTAGGCCATTCCCAATTCAGATTAATTATCACAAGTCTGCCCTCTTCGGTTTGGCTCCCAACAGTGGCTCTAAATATACAGTATAACCCGAACTCCCATGTGCTTCATCCATTTAATTAAGTGTGAGTCCACAGATCTGGCTGTGGAGAGCTGGAGGTTATCTCTGCATCCATGGCTTCTTCATGCAGAGCAGTTTGTCCCTAGCAAAGTCCTTGACATCTCTGTTAGCAGCTGCCTTCGGAGAGGTGTGAGTCTCACTGATTTTACCGATGGTGTCTGTGGGACCATGGATTTGGAACTATCACAATTAGGTAGATACCTGAAGACAGTAACTTCTAGAATCTGTCAGTAACCAGTAGTTCAACAGGGACTGTAGGGTTCATGAGTCCTTTCCTGGTCTATGGTTGACCACTGCAGGCCTATTCTCATACAAGTGCAGTGCAGGCAGCCACAGCTGTGATGAGAATGTGTTTTCAGTCTGTGTCATATCTGAAGACAGTATTTTGTAGCCCTTTTTCCTTCTTCACACTTTTACATTCTTTCTGTTCCCTCTGATGTTGTCTAACTGAGCCTTCGAGACGGTGTGTAGAGGGATGAGCACCCAGCCATCCCTTATTCTTAGCACCTGAGCAGCTGTGACTCTGCGTTCAC